CCCCCCCCAATCACTCAATCACCTGTTATTGTTACCAAAACCCCCAAAAGCTTCAAAAACTAGAAAAACACCGCACCCTATTTACAGCTACAGCTAGTCTTTCATATAGAGCACAAGATATACTATATCTTAAAAATATGGGAAAAGTTATATTGGAGATGGTAAGGTAAATGCAACATCCAAACCTACTTTCAGGTCCTCCTTAGTGGTTTTTCAATTTGGCCATGTCCCTTTGACTGTTAGTAGACATTCTACTACTGAATGACATTTATTAAAAATACTTAAGCTGAAATGAGAACTTCATTGCAACGCAAGTCTGATTGTTTAACAGAGATTTCTCCCGTATCAGACACCTGACTGAACATGAACACCTCTTCAAATTTGTGGTATTCTAAGTGTCAACTAACTGACCTGTCAGTAGGCATGAATTAAATAAAGCTGAATTTCTGATGATGTGCAAACTTTTAATGCAATGAGGAACAGAGTTACTTTACGCTCTGCAACACAGGCATTCTCATACAACAAATCAGAAAATCTGAACTACACTGCACTAAAGACAAGCCTACTTACTAACATGATTTATCTTTTTTTTTTCATGCTTTAAAAACAGGTACCTTGACACATTATAAAGAATATCTCTAAAAAATGCTACTATATTGCTGTGAAATGTAGGAAGTAGAACTCCCTGTTTGAATAGCAACAAAGAAGTATTGTCAAATCCTACAGCCCAGCTGTGAACACTGATTATAGTACACTACTGAATTGCCTTGATCTTTATAATTCCCCAAATAAGTATGCCACATTAACACAAGAAAATGCAAATGAAAATTAAATATTTCACCTGGGAAGGGTGGTGGTGGCCCTCCTGGCCCTGCCGGTCCAGGGAATCTGTCTCCACCTGGAATGGCACCTGGAAAACGACCTCGTCCTCTATTACTAGGTGGAAATGCTGCTCGTGAGCTTCCTCCTGGGGGACCAGCTTTACCTTCCCCAGACATCTGGCCAGACTGTGTGGCTGCAATGGAAAAGCAAAAGTGTAATTACATAAATCTAAATAGGTTAAAGCTTTTCAACTCTCAGTCTAAAGTTCTATGCAGCACTAAAGCATAACCTTATGAGCACCAACTTGTTCCTCAGTTCCCAAACCCGAAGCTATCTGGGGAGGAAAAAGTTCTTTGCTAAAATATGGCAGTGTTCCAGTATACCCATACTAATGGAATAGCATCTGGGGAGACTGTCTGTCCTTCCTTTAATGCAGCCCAAGGCCACAAAGGAACATATTTACACATTAGGAATGGGAAGCACAAGACAAGGTGCTGAAGGAAAGCACAACACAGAATCTCTCTTCCCCATTTTATTATAAGCACAACTTCAGTATATTAAGTGATTCTTTTTCCATTTTTATTTTTAAGAGGATCATCTTTAAACAAAGCTGCAGCTTCATGCACCTTACTGTTAGTACTTTATAGCTATTTAATACTGTGTAGAAATTAACAGATGCCGAGAGAAAAACTGCAGTACTACTTTTGGAATAAACTTCTATTTTCACTAGACAGTACATGAGAAAGGCTTACTTTTCCTTGACTGCATTTCAAACTGACTCAGAAATTGTTTATTACATGGAGTCACAACAGGATTCTGCCCATGCAATTCTCTTTTAGGCAATAAATCCATCAGCTTTTTGGAGGATGCTTCTGATCCCACACCCACAAGGGCAAACCTGAAAGAAAGAAGGAAAAAAAAAAGAAGTTACACCACAGTTTTTCCATTTCCTGGAGAGCCTGATTTCTCATGATAAAGGTTATGCACAGGAAGCAAAAGAGTACTTGAAAACTAAATACAGAAACTCTCTCACACGTCTTAGTCCAGTTTTCAGAATATAATATAATAACTGATTCTAGGACATATAAAAACCACAACTGCAAATACAAGATGCATGAAAATATATAATAACAAATGCAGCTTTTCGGTAGAGTATCAAAACACTATATATGTATTCACATATATTACTATTACTGAGCATTCAGTGTGTTCTCGCTACTAAGGAGAGAGAAAGGTAAATTCATGCAAGGAAGATTAGGTTGCCAGTGAAAAATCAGCTCAAGCACTCTCAACAGGTAATGGAAAATAAAGCATGTAAAGGAAGATTTAATAATGGAGGTGGGGGAAACAGTATTTACACTATGAAGAACAACAAATATCACCACCATAGTAAATGAAATCTAGGAACAGAGTCTTAATGAAGTCTGCCAGCAAGATTTAACTCACAAAATAACGGTCTATACAATATCATAATAAAAAATTATGCCTGAATTTTCCGTTCTCAGTATGAAATGATATACCCAAACACTGGATATCAATAAACAAAGATTTATCAATTCACATACTGACAGTAATTAAAATTGAGAACTCCTTCCCCATTTTCACTCTCCCAAACTTCAGTCCATTTACAGAAAAAAACAAATGTAAACTTCTTACCCTTTAGACTGGCCATTAGCACGATTTTCAAAAAATTTTATCTCCAAAATATCATTTACCCCCAGTGAATGAACAGCTTCAGTTAAGTCTTCATCCGTTGTCCACTGAAAAATATTTTTAATATTCAACTATGAAAGCTTATCTAAAACACCATGAAAAGGGCAACTAAGTTTTCCATGCTTTTTTTTTTTTTTTTTTTTTTTTTGGTGGGTGAAGTTGGTCAAGAGGAATACTTTATTCAGGCTGTCAAAATTTTACGACTTTTAGAAAACAGTAATTTATATTTTACAACTCTCAGAAAATTAATTTTAAAAATAAACACATTTCCCCTATGCTACATGCATCAATCCCTCCACACAGTTTACCAGCTACAGCATGCAAAAAACCCACTGTATCTGAGTGACTTTTGTTTTCTGAGAGTGCAAGGCTTCAACTGAACTATTTCAGTAACTGTTACTTTTTCCACACCCAGTCCATTTTTTCTCCCACTTACTCTATTATTTCCATACAAAGTTCAGTTTTAAATGTCATATTAACCAGGTGCTCTTTACAAGAGCTTTGACTAATGAGAGTTTAGTGAACTACATATTATTTACACAAAACCAGCAGGATTAACAGACAAAAGAAGGCAAACTAGTACAGAAACGATGGTTAGAAACAACTGCTTCCACTTAACCAAACCTATGTGCTGTAACTTCCTATTAATTACTATGTAATATTTAACAGTTCCACTCATATCCAAAGATACGCAAATACATCAATACTTATGGTACTCTTCCTACTTCTGTAACTTCATCACCTCTTTAAATTTTACATGGGAAATGCAAAGCAGGCTTTCAGGATTCTGAACTACTTATTTGATCACCCTCAAATCAAGGCTTCTTTTAAAGATTCTACAAATTATTTTCCCGAGAGCTAAATGCAAAGAAAACAAACTCAATAGCAATGCTAAAGTAAATAAATGTACTTTTTGAGGATAACTTCATTTGTGAAGCCAAATAATGGGTAACAGGTACAAACTGCTGCACACTGGGCCACCTGCTTTAGAAATTGCAGAATATTTGACCTGTATGAGTTCAACTAATTCATGTGCATTTTACTGATTCCATTAATACATTTTAGAATGGTACCACTGTTAACGACTTCTTTACTTACCTATTAGCTCCTAAAATTAGGATACTGTAATAAGTAATGAACAAACACCTAAGCACCCATAAAGCATTCTTTTCCAAGTTTAGCACTAGTAAGAAATACATCACATGGGGAAAAAAAGCCTTGAATGAGAACTTTTCATGCATGGACTTGGAAGAATTTGATTTCAGGTAAGCAGATAAAACTCCAGATAATTCAGCTACTGACCAGCTCTTGCACTTTGTTTGCTTGACTGCAACCGATTTTAAAATGCTTTAATGCTAATAAATGTAACTGTCTTAAGGGTAACTGCAGTTCAGTGAGTTATCCCAAACCTGTTACTCCTAGGATAGCAGAAAAAAGCCTCGGCGAATACCTGAAAACAGTTTAGTTGCAAAAGTCACTGCCCTGGAAAAAGGTGAAAAGTAATTTCAAGAAAATCCCCAAGAATCTTCCAGTTCCTTTTTAAACTGAAAACTTCAGCAAGGGTTTATTGGAAAAGGGGTTTAAGCTTGTTCTCATCTTTCACCCAGTTCTCTGAAGACCTTAAGAAGATGGTAGCACAAATACCCCTTCATAACACTTAAAACACAACAGGAAACTTTTAAGTTCATATTTACTCAAGATTTCCTCTATTTTTTAGATATCAAGACAGCTCCAGATAGGCTTACTGAATTTCAGATAAAAGAAAAAACCCACAAAAACCCACTTGCTTTGCTGTTCTCTTAATATTTCACATAACATGATTTTTAAGCCACAAATATTTACAAACTATGCTCATAATTTTAAAATTCCTGGCTACAACTAAATACTAATAAGATACTTACCCAAGTAAGATTTCCAATGTACAAGGCAATTCTCTTTCCAGTATACGTATAGACAACATTTGGTGCAGCTCCTTTACCTACATCATCCCCAACAGATGGTGGGAGAGAATCCATGTAATCACGATCTTCTGGGGCATCTCCATTATTCGCAGATGGAGAAATTACATCATCATATAAATCGATTTGATCATGTCCACCATATTCAGCTTCCTAAAAATACAAAAGACACTTTGATTATATTTTAACTTTAAACATTCTTAAAACTTACTTGCAACAAAATGCTGTGATAACTGCCAAGTTCCACAGACACAGCGTGTCCAATTCAACACCTATACACCACCCCTGCTGAAAAACTAATCGCCACTTTCATCCACATTAAATTATATAAAATTCTTATGACTTCTGTTATATTCTAAACTGACAGGGGAAAAAAACCGTAACAACAAAAGATACCTCTGGCCCCTGTTTTGCACTGCAATACTTTTGCCCTTCTAATATAAACATAAATCAAAAAACTCACAAGCCCTGCTCCCAGAATTAGCAAGCACAAGCAGCGTGCAAAATCAGAGGCTAACACTCGCTCTCAAGCAAATCTTTTTTCCATCAAAACATTCAGTAGAGTGAACAGAGAGAGAGTTTCAAGAAGAGCCCTACTGACAAACACAACATTCTTTCAGATTTCCGCTGCATTTTGAACTTGACTTTTATCTCCTCATTCACAGAGGAGTCAGACAGGGACAGAATTCTATTTGTTTCAATAAATTTAATAAACCCAAGGATTTGTATTTATTGTACATTTATTTATTGTACATTTATTTATTCATGGGCTGCAGAGCGACTCTTCTACAGCATCATGCTGCCTCTGGAACATTTTGGTTCAGAAAAGCATTGTGGGGTTTTGGAGTGAATCAGTCCCTTCTCCCTGTACAGGTTATGGCACAGTTCTGGCCAAGTGAAGAAGATTCCTTCCCGCAGGAATGGAAATGACAGTTTCTTTCCAGAAACTGCTTCATGTGCTCAACAACTGCATCCTGCCTGCTAAATGAGAACAGAGAGGTCAAGATCAATCAGTGGTCCTGCAGACAGCTTTGACTCACAAGTGTGGTAGGAATACTTGGTCCGAAAGGCGAGACTAAATTTAGTCGGAAGTAGACTGTGCAAACAGTGCCTTAGGTAGACAGAGGGGCTTGGGCACCGACTGCCTCAATCTGCCAGTGTGCTACTACCAAGCCATATTACTTTTTATTGGAGAGACTGCTGTGCTGTCATGACAGACAATTAAGAGAGGGTAAAACATGTTGACTGTAAATGATAGCAATCTCCTTAAAAACATGATTTTTTTTTTTTAAAACAAAACAGCGTAACCTCAATCAGTAGGATCGCTTAATTCCAAATATGAATGAAGCCGGGTGGTGTATATTTGCACTAATGAACTATTTTGAAAACAAAGACTCTTTTAGTACTTGCAATTTTTCATCTTAGACACTGTAACTCATCATACTCGATGGTGATCAACTCCACAACAGGATGCTGCCATCCTTTTTTACTATTACAGCAATCATGTATGATAGAATAGCTCACTTTGTGTGAAAGAGAGGTACCATCTACATTTCTGTTGACAGGAAGGCAGTAACTTCTCGGTGAACAACAGTGGTCTGACAAAGCTTAGGAGAGCCTGGCAGTGTCTAACGTTAACCTTCAAAGCTTTTCTATTGACTTTCACAGGTTTTATTGCCCCATGCAAAAGCTGGAATTCAAAAGCCTGCAGAGGGTTCCTGGACTCTTCCATCCTGATCCAGAACACAAACTGCCTCACTATGTTTTGATATCAGAGATATTTCAGCAGCCACTCTGCTATGAATTTGTATCTAGAAACCCACACAAGCATCCTAGATAGAATAGTTCAAGGGAGCGGATATGGTGACTAGAGAGAACCAAGTTGGATTATGGAGAAAACAGGTTGCAAAGCTAGCAATCTTGACTGAAAACCCAATATATCCACAATCACCATCAGATGATCAGCTGTCTTGAAAATACAAAAACATTCATTATCAACAGCTATTCATACAGAGAGGCTATCACTAAAATAATAAAAAAATAAAACCAAAAGAGATAAGCTAAGTTTTGGCATTGCCAATCAAGTAGATTTGATACTCAGTAAACTGCACTACCTCAATACACTCTAAACTTTAATAGAAACTTAACCTCTCTAAAGTTAAGTTTATCATCATTAAATTAAGTAAGATTTTTGTATTTTCACCTAATCTGTCCAGTTCTCTGTCTCAAGTTTGATTCCTATCATCATAGTTAATGAAAGTAGGTTCAACGAACTGCCTGGGACAAGCTGAAACACGACATCTTACAGCAAGATTAAGGATGATGTCACAAAGCAATTAAAGAAATCCTCTACTAAACGTGCAGTAATTCTAGTAATCTGTGTGTATGGATGATGACTTCAGGGAAGTAGAATTTAGTCCTAGTAGACAGATCCAAACAGGTAGCCACCAGTCTTACAGCAGAGGGAGTACACTAACCTATCTCTCTGAGAAGGCAGAGGTCAGCATTGCCAAAATACAAGTGTAGGCAGCAGTCCACAGCTCTGCTGCATTTCCCTAGTGGCAAGAAACTCCTCTGAAACAGATCAAGTTTACATCACACAGGCTTTTGGGTCACCATCAAAGAAGGGAGATAGTTATTAGAGCTGCAGAGTCTGCATGTAATTTGGGGGGGGGGGGGGAGGCTTGGTGCCCAAGAGCATCAGTGCCTTAATTTAAATCAACAAAAACAGGAAAACCTGATGTGGTTCACCATGTCTTCTTACATTGTGTTGTTTTTGCACACAGTATGGAATTCATTCAGTTACCAGTCTGTCAACAAGGTGTGTGGTTAGATGATTAAGAATGATCTGAGTCAGCAACTGCAAGTGTAGATGGAAGAGGGGTGCCTTGATGGCTGTTTCGCAAGATCCAACAACCCTTCTTCCTTCATACATGTACTATGGAAACTTACCTAACACACCCTTCTTTCCTAGATGCAGAAGAGTAAGAAAAAGAATACAGGAAGCATTACTTCTCTAATCTTAGCTATTTCAACAAAAGCTCTGCCAGTAGCAGGAATTGTTTTTGACCTCTTCCAATTTTCTTAGTTAAGAGAAGACCATCAAGCACAAAGAGAAATTATTTCTTCTCAGTTATTATAATTCACAATATTACAGAAAACATGCTATGAAACAAAGTTTACACCACTATTCTGGTCCCCTCTACAACCTACGCAAGGGTATCAACACATTTCAAAAGCCCATGTTTTAACTCGACCACAGCCCGAAGTATTAGATCATTTGCTCTGGAAAATCAGGACTGAAATTCAACATTCTGTGCTATTAACTGGGACTGGGTAAATCAAACGAGTTCTGAAAATATACACTCTCAAAGATTCCTGTAGACTAGCAGACAGTTATTCAGCCCTTTCTCAATATTTTGTATTTTAGTTACCGTTTGCAGCGTTTTGCAACATTCAAATACAAAAGCCATAAACACATGGAACACCACAGTCATACCCAGAAGGGATAAATTAAAAGTTTTGGAACTTAGCAGCCATACTCCTCTGAGTTGCAGAGAAGAACTGGTCATTCCCTTTACAAAAGCTGTTTCAGAAATGGCTCTTTTTTTTCTTTTTTTTTTAAAAAGTCTTTAAATTGTACATCTATCTTTGAGACTTGCTTTTTCTGCACAACTCTGTTCAATTTAAGAGTTAAACACTAGATTACACTTCCAAAAGACATTAAAAAAAAAAAAAATCAGTGTTGTAAATAAAATTTCATTAAAAAACCTGTTACTGTTTCTGGGGAAAAAAAAAAATCAACTAAGAAAAAGCAAATTATCCAGCTTCTCCCTTATCACTTTTTTCATTCAAGTTACAACATATGTGGTCAAAACCTCTACATACATGTTAGCATCCTCACTTCAAAAAAAGTTTGTGGGCCCTGAAGGATAACAAGTTAAAGAGATAAGCAAAAATCTTTCTGGTCTCTATGAGCTGTCTGAACACACAGACTGGAACCTTAACAAAACAGCAGGTCTTTGATGTTTCTAAAACAGCACACTGCCTGTGGCAGAACCATCCACCACGGTGGACAAGTTTGTTAGACCATAAGATCCACGTTTACTCTACAGGCCCAAACGCTCTCAGCTCTACAACTACTACACCACTAAAATTTAAGAAATCTGCTCCCTTGTTAAATAGAGTAAATAAAAATTTCACAAGTAGTCAAACGAATAAATTAAATGTAGGCAGTATTGCTGTTTGCATTAGAATGAAGCCAAGAGGTGCCAGATGAGACGGCCTCAAGTTTTCTTTGTAGTTTGGTATTTGCAGATGTCCAAAGGTTATCTCTTCCCCAGGCCCCTTTCAGCCAAGCAGCAGAACTGATGGGACACACAGGCAATAAGGTGCTGCGCGTACATCTCAAATAAATGAAGGTCTGCCTGCTTATGTTTTTTATGACCAGGACAGCTCTGCCCCTCTGAGTAGAAACGTATTGTACCACAATGTGCCCATCCCCTCCCATAATGAGACATCTGTTTTCCTGATATAAAGGCTGTTTTTAATAACCTGTTTTATGTGGCCATAAAATGCTATCTTTTATTATTTATTATTAAAAATATTTTTCTCTCTGTGTTCCAGACAAGAGGTCAAGAGAGTAACTAACATGTTCCTAAGAATCTGTAGCCACAGAGGTTTCCAGATAATTAGCCTCTTAGCTGCTTACTCCATCTAAATAATTTTTATTACCCAGTTACAAAATACAAAGCCAGAACTCTTTCATTTCTAATTTGTTAGCATTTAAATACCAAACTAGAACACTACAGCATGTTTAGACATATCCACGACACAACTATGCAAGTATACTCATTAGAGTATAAACAAAGCAAGCACTTTTTCCACAGCAGTAAAATAAGAGATCCTTCTGATCAAGCAGAGGATACAAAATGATTTTAAAAAATCCCATATGTATATATATAAAAATTTATTTTACTGCATAAGATGACAGTAAATAAAAACACATAATAGAACCAGGGTTTTTTACTGTTTAATTATGTGCATGTGAAAAAAAAAAAAAACCAACAACTTGGGAAATACAAAGCTGATCAGAGCATCAGAGAACTTGACAATGCATGTTCACATCTTCTTGACTGCAGGAAAGTAACCCA